GGTGTTCGGCCAATCACAATGCACTGGGTCAGCTGGCCAATCAGAGCAGACTGCGCTTGTCGGAAGGAGGGACTTTGTAGAAAACGAAGCGTTTGAGAGAGGCGGGGCATAGAGGACCTACAATAATGTACAGTATTTGAAAAATAATGTGTTTTTTTTAAACATTAAAGCATGTCAACATATTCTGTTACACCAAATACACAAAATAATGATCTTTAAAATAGCATCATATGACCCCTTTAACACCTCTTTTCACTTTGTGATAGTTCTGAGGCTAAATATAGATTTAAAATCATAACAATAAATAGTTTAATAGCTACGATACTGTTTTTGAAATCAAATCTTTGCATAGCTATGACAGGAAACACTGGCATCTAACCATGCCTTGGGGGGAAAAACTGTTAATCTTGAAAAATAAAGCAAACACATTAACCCAAACAGGAAATAAAACAGTTATCGAATAAACATGTGTCCTATTCTGTGTCCTAAACCCCTGAAACATTGTCTTATATTTTAGAGCAGTTATTAAACCTGTAAGTTATGGGTGTATATATGTGTGTGTACGTATGTGTGTGTGTGTGTATATACGTGTGTGTATGTATATGTGTGTGTGTGTGTGTGTGTGTGTGCACGTATGTGTGTGTCTATGTATGTGTGTGTGTATATATGTATGTGTGTGTGTATATATGTGTGTGTGTGTGTGTATATATGTGTGTGTGTGTGTGTATGTATGTATATGTGTGTATGTATGTATATGTGTGTGTGTATGTATGTATATGTGTGTGTGTATGTATATGTGTGTGTGTATGTATGTATATGTGTGTAGTGTATGTCACTAATTTGGTTCTCCCGTCGTAAAGAGAGAGAGATTTCTGCAGATCGACTTGGTTGTAGAAGACTGTTTACGGAGCATAAAAATGATTACACGTACACGTACCTAAACAACAAGCAGGTAAAACCATCCTAATGAACACTAGCTCCATCAAAAGAACGAGCCCTTATTCCACGGATAAAGTGAATAATCTCACGATGACCGTGGGATACTGATATTACAGTTGTCTCTAGCTGGAGACTCAATCGGGTTACAAAAAATGATGTCAAGAAACGACACTGGCCATTTCGTTGGGTCGTTTGTAAAGTCACAGATACTGTACAGACAATACAGCTCAGTTTTTTATGTATCTTGCTCTGTTGAACAGCAAAAGTGACTTTACTAGGCTATACTGGATTAACAGCATGCATCTCCTGTCAGCGGGAAAGCTGCGCCCCCAGCTATCACAAGACCCGAGCAAGTCCGTGGTTGACACCCTCTCATTAGCATGTTGCACAGAGGAGAAATAAATGCGGAACTACATTCAGAAATAAATGAGTGATCAAAAGAAAATAGTTAGGATGAGTTTAGCATTTCCTTAAACATTTTCCATTTGCCCACCAATTTATTTGATTTATTTGCCCATCGTATTTATTTATCCAGCGTATGGAGGACGAAACCTGCAAAAACAATAAATAAATAAATGCACAAATAAATATGCAAATAAATAAATGTGTGTATAAATACACAAATTATTGTTTAAATACATATAGAAATAATTAAACATGTGATTAAAGTAGGCAAATAAATAAAATAAATCTCTCCACTTAAAATCGTTTATGATTTAGCTTGCTCATGATTATAACTACAAAACTAACCCTATGAAAAAGTGTAAGATAATAATCAGTCCCCTTGACTGATGACGTTAATACGCATGCAAACGCTCACGCGCGTCACACACGATCCAACTTAGGACAACTTTGATGAAAGGTTTTGATCCACTTCAAATGTTGTATAAATGGAAATCAAATTTGTTTGCTGAGGTGTGAGTGCTGTACAATTTTTGAAAAGAAACGAATAAGCGAGGATGCTTTAAATGATCAAAGTAAAGGTGACAGTAAAGACATTTATAATGTCAAAAGATTTCTGCTTCAAAAAAATGCTGTTCTTTTGACTTTTATTCTTCAGTGAATCCTGACGGTTTTCACAAATATATTAAACCATTTTCAACACTGATAATACTTAGAAATGTTTCTTGAGCATGTCAGCATATTAGGATGTGATACTGAAGACTGGAGTAATGATGCTGAAAATTCAGCTCTGAACACTGGAATAAATCACATTTTACAATATATTACAATGGACTACAGTCTGTCGTATTAAATTATAATATTTCACTGTATTTTTGATCAAATAAATGCAGCCTTGGTGAGCAAAAGAGACTCGTTTCAAAAACATTTTAAAAAATTGTACTGACCACTGTTTCTTAATTGGCTTTAACAATTAAAATATGGCTTATAAATATAATACAAAATATATAAACAAAATGGATCATTTAGTTTCTTAAACTTTATTAAAAGCACATTTGAGATTCACAAAAATAGTGCGCTACATACAAACACAAGTGAATTTCATTAAAATTACAGACGTTTATTAAGTTATAGGTCTATCTTATTAATATAGCATTAAAATGTTAGCTTATTTGCAAGAGATATGAAGGGCTTGTGCATTTTGAACTCTTTAACTCGCTCCAAAGTTAAAGAACAAGTAAAGATCTCAGTGTTTGGTGCTGAACAGATGAACGTCATTCTGCTTGTGTTCAGTGCTAACGTCGTGCACTGTGGTTTAGATGGGGCACAAATCAATGCCAATCTGGAGTATGTTCACATTACAATAAATGAGAGAACTCCTGTTTGAAAGCTTAAAGAGAATGGAAATATATGAATAAAGCAGACAAAAGACTGGTACAAGCACTCAGTTCACACGAGCAGCACCAAAGAGTCGCTCACAGCTTATCAAGTGCACTTGAGAAACACAAAACACACGTCATCTGCAGCAAAAGCAGCTCCAGCACAATCTGTCTCGAGGGATTGTTTTGTGATGGAAAATAACCAGCCAGCTGGTTCTGAGAAATACAGAGTTCCTCTGTACTGGAAAAATCAGGCCGAGCCATCACGAGGCCTGCAAAACTCACTTTCAAAGTGATAAAGAGCAACTTTACTGTCCTGATATGAACCAGCGGTGGCTGGAATCATTTATGATATTGTGAATAATCAAACATCCATCGGTGCTGCCACTGACTGCACTGAGTCACACTAAACATCAACAGCTGGCGATATAGCTTTTCCCAATAAACACGTTCTTACAGAAGCTGTATTTCAAAATATTAGCTATTTTGTATTTAGTTGTATGCAGTTTGGCCCCCAAAAGTATTTGGGTGAATCTCATGAAACCTCGCAAAAAAAGCCCAGGTCATATTTCATCTCAAAATCTGAATTTACTGAGAAAAGAAAGACTATTTTATGACATTTAAGAAAATTCCCCCGAAATTCTTGAAATGCAAAATAATAATAACAATAGTTAAAAAAAAAAAATTTAAAATGAAGAAAAAATAAAATAATAAAATGGTAATAGTAATGTGAAAAATAAAAAAATAAAGCAATTATTTAAATGAAAATAATCATTGTGAATACAGAATAATGGGAATTATTTGTGATGGGAATTCGAAAAATGCTTTTCATTGTTACAATACAAAAAAAAACCATCCATCGGTGCTGCCACTGACTGCACTGAGTCACACTAAACATCAACAGCTGGCGATATAGCTTTTCCCAATAAACACGTTCTTACAGAAGCTGTATTTCAAAATATTAGCTATTTTGTATTTAGTTGTATGCAGTTTGGCCCCCAAAAGTATTTGGGTGAATCTCATGAAACCTCGCAAAAAAAGCCCAGGTCATATTTCATCTCAAAATCTGAATTTACTGAGAAAAGAAAGACTATTTTATGACATTTAAGAAAATTCCCCCGAAATTCTTGAAATGCAAAATAATAATAACAATAGTTAAAAAAAAAAAATTTTTAATGAAGAAAAAAAAAAATAATAAAATGGTAATAGTAATGTGAAAAATAAAAAAATAAAGCAATTATTTAAATGAAAATAATCATTGTGAATACAGAATAATGGGAATTATTTGTGATGGGAATTAGAAAAATGCTTTTCATTGTTACAATACAAAAAAAAATGAATAACGATAAAATAAAAATCTAAAGGAACAGTTCAAGAACAAATGAAAACTTGCTGAAAATGTAGTCATCCTCAGATGTAGATGAGTTTGTTTCTTGAATATGGAAATACAAAAATGCTTTTCACTTCTCCAGATGTTAACTGATGGACTGGAGTGCTGTGGATTATTGTGATGTTTTTTTCAGCTCTCATTCTGACGGCACCCATTCACTGCAGAGCATCCATTGCTGAGACACTGATGCAATGCTGCATTTCTCCAAATCTGATGAAGAAACAAACTCATCCTGATCTTGAATGACCCGAGGAAATTTTCATTTTCGGGGGAAAATATTCCTTTAATTTATATCTAAAATAGGTTTCATTTTCTCTTTATAAAAGAATTTCTTCTCATTTTGATTTTGAGGTACAATGTGACCTGGACAGTTTTGGGGAGATTCTCTTATAAAGCGCATTAAACTGGTTTTATAACACTAGAATCTGTAGGGAGGGAGTTTTGTGTTGCACAGCAACAAGTTTAAAGATGAGACTGAGGACAACAGACAGCAGTGGGTCAGAGAACATCTGGTCTTTTCACAGCACTCAGACCGGCTGATGCTCCAGGAAAAGCCCACCTAAAGAGCCCAATCATGACAAAACTTAGTGTTCACCGCAAATGAAAAACATGGCATCAGACTCGGACGACAGCAAAACACAAGTGCACTTACAGACGTGAAAGGAAGAAACAGACGAGACAAAACACACACACACACAGTATGCAGCTGGACGCAGGTGGTATGCATGGAAGCCTGTTTCCAACACCGAATTCAAAAGATAATTGCCACTTTTGAATTTCACAATTTGGACTTTGTTTCTAGCAAATCTGAGGGGAAAAAGGAGAGAGAATCAGAATTGCAAGGAAAAAGTTTCAAAATTGTGAGATGCAAACTCTAAGTGGAAAAAAAGAACTGCGAGATTTCAATTCAGAATTCTGCCTTTCTTTCTGAGTTTACTTCTCAATTCTCAATTCAATTTCCACCACGGAACAAAAAATGTAAAATTTATAATTGCAACTTTTTCTCAGAATTGTGAGTTTATATCTCGCAATTCTGAAATTATATCTTGCTGTTTTGAACTTAAATGTTGCAATTCTTACTTTTTTCTCAGAACTGTGAGGGGAAAAAGTCAGAACTTTGAGATAAAAATCCAGTTACCTTTTTTTTTCTTTTAGAAAATGTTCCTGTCAGAAACATGCTTCCACAGATATAAGATCAGTTCTCTATCCAGAAGAAAAATTGTTGTGTTGTGCAGCATCTGGGAGAAAAGTGTCATGCTGGTTTGCTTCAGGTATCTGCAGTGGTTTGGCACTTAAACGAACTGCGAGATTTCAATTCAGAATTCTGCCTTTCTTTCTGAGTTTACTTCTCAATTCTCAATTCAATTTCCACCACGGAACAAAAAATGTCAAATTTATAATTGCAACTTTTTCTCAGAATTGTGAGTTTATATCTCGCAATTCAGAAATTATATCTTGCCGTTTTGAACTTAAATGTTGCAATTCTTACTTTTTTCTCAGAACTGTGAGGGGAAAAAGTCAGAACTTTGAGATAAAAATCCAGTTACCTTTTTTTTCTTTTAGAAAATGTTCCTGTCAGAAACATGCTTCCACAGATATAAGATCAATTCTCTATCCAGAAGAAAAATTGTTGTGTTGTGCAGCATCTGGGAGAAAAGTGTCATGCTGGTTTGCTTCAGGTATCTGCAGTGGTTTGGCACTTAAACATTTATCTGGACTATTTTTAAGTGGGAGAACTTGCACAATTGGTGGCTGACTAAATACTTTTTTTCCCCACTGTATATATATATATATTATTGCATGTTTACATAATTTTATGTATTATATATATATATAAAATTTGCATTTTATCTGCAATATACACAATATATAGATAAATAAAATATTAAAATTTTTGCTGATTGTTTATTATGTATTTGCAATACATAATTTACATATGTAAGTTTAATAAATATATATATATAATATGAGTTTAATATATATAATATCTTATTAAAATACATTTGCAGATTTGTGTATAAATACTATTTCAAAATGTATTATCATTTAAATACCCGAATCAATACTGGAAATACAAAACAAAAACTCAATGAAACAAAAACAAAAGTATAAATATTTTATATAATTTTGTAGTTTTATTTATCTATGTTTTTTATTATATTATTTGTAGATTATTTATATATACAGTGGGTATATATATATATATATAAAATGATGATAAAATATTTGTTTATTTATTTTCAGATATATTTTCAGTATACAAATAAAGTGTGTATTATCATTTAAATACCTGCATCAAGACTGGAAATACAAAAATAGATCTGCAATAAATCATTTCAGTAATCATGCTTGATTTTTCTTAAAGCCGCACCTAGCTGCCAAAGTTTAAGCTCTTGTTTTGGTGCAATAATTATTAGTTACTTAAGCGGACGCGAGTATTTCCACAGCAAACGTGCAATACATCAGTGTTCAGACGCTGGTCATGGATCAGCTGAGATGAAGTTTGATTGTCACCTTCATTGTTACTGATGTCAGAAAAGTTCTGACTCTGGACGATCTTCTCCACGATGTCGTCTGCGTCCATACGCGTGTCGTTGACCCAGGTCGGGCGATCCTCCACCGAATCCTGCTTCCTCCTGCCATACACAGAAGGAAATGCCAGTTACATTTACTGTTAGGGCTGCACGATAAATCGCAATGAAATCTTGTGATTTCGTGATTAGGCAAAAGCTGGGATTGTCAAGCGCATCTTTCAGTGAAGCACGGTTCTGTGATCAGTAGTAAATCTCCATCCAAAGGCCAGAGAAACTCCACATTAGTGCTGGGCGGTATGACCAAAAATTTGTCACTGTATTTTTCAAAATTATACCAGTTCCTCCGAGACCTCTCAGTGGTCTTACAGGCCATACAGAGAGATCCGTTTGAGCCTTTACACACAGTTGAGCTTAGTGCCGTTTCCATGAAGACAGTCCTCCTGACCACGCTCACCTCTGTCAAGACAGTGGGGGATCTACAAGCCCTCTTCATTAACGAAACATGTCTAGAGTTTGGACCGGCAGACCCTCACATGGGCCTGAGACCCCAGGCCAACTATATGTAATGGTAAGTTTCCCAGAGGATAGTGCTGGACGGTATGATCAAAAATGTATATCACGGTATTTTTCTCAATTATACCGGTTTCACGGTACATGAGGGTATTTTTTTTTCATGCATGACCAGGTGTTAACCATATTTTCTACTGATTGAGAGAGGAAATACTGCAGCATATTGACTTAGAATGACGAGTCGGCTGCGGTGCGGCCAACTGAATGCGCTGCTTCTTTGCCGCTCACTGCACAGAACACACGCAGAGAGAGGCGACACTTCTCCGGGAAAGTCAGACCTCGCGTTCGAGGGACAGCACTGGTGAAATCTTCCAACTGAACCATAGCTAAGCTTTATCCAGAAAAGACTCTAGGTTTGTCAGTATGAATATTCTATGGAAAAAAGCCGCTAAAAGGGTCTGAAAGTTGCTAAATGTAGTGCTAAAGTCGTGCTTGTGTGTGGGAGATGCGGGAGCTGATGGCAGGGGGCGGTGGATATTTGTGGAGGTCAGTGTGGATATTGTGGATGAGTTCTTCTGTGTCATCACGTTCTATTAGTTCTACAGCTTCAGTTTCTGAACTTTCACGCTTAGTAACACATACAGCTGTGCCCTCACCACAGTGCAACAGTGAAAAGGGACCCCTTTCAAACAGTGTCGCGTTCCGAACGTTGTTCCGAACGACATACACCAGTATTGCGGTATTTTAAAAATTCATATCATAACAAAAATAAACACCGGTATTCGGTATGAACCGGTATACCGCCCAGCACTACTCCGCATACACCCAGGAAATCTCTATAGATGTAACTGCTTTCATTGATTCAACGTGACTAATAAACACATGACTACGACAATATATGATTCATGAGTTCTTATTATAATAAAGTATATAATAATGCAATGCTTTTATCAGTGCTTGGAATACTATGAAATATGTTGTGTGCCTTATTCTGTGTAAGAAGCCACATCATCTCACAGAAGGATTTATTTCAAACACTCGACTGACGTTATGAAGTGAGTTTGGAGTAAAAATATGTTATTAAATGTGGTGTTTTCACGTGCTTTCAGATGGAGCAGCATTTACTTCACAGAGCCGTAGTTCACTGAGAAGCTATGCAAACAGCTGTCATTATCGCGAACGATTTCTTCGATTTCATTAGTGCACGATTAAATTGTCTGCGATTTTTTTGCGTACCTCGTCAGTGATCTACGGCTCTGTGTAGTAAATGCCGCTCCATCTGAAAGCACGTGCTGGAGATTTACTACTGATCACAGAACCGGCTTTACTGACGAGATGTGCATGACTATCGCATTCCATTAATCGTGCAGGCCTATTTACTGTGGCACATTTTGTTTCTGCCGGCTGCCGTGGCCGTACCGTGGTGGTCTGTTGGAGGGTAAGATGGGCCGCGGGGGTCGCGGAGGCCGCTCGGGACGGGTGTCGCTCTCAGACGGGGGGTCGGCGCTCACGCTGCTGCCTGAAGATGTGTTCCTGCGATGGGTCAGATCAGACAGACTGGAGGAGCAGGAGTGTTCGGTGCTGTAGCCTGAGCACACACACACACACACACACAAATGCATGATCAATAAACATCATGCAACACTTCAAGTTCCACATGAAAAGCACCGAAACTTCGCAGAAGTGAGTGATTTTATGACGTTTGTAGGATGCAGAAAGTGGGCGTAGTAAAGCGTGAAAATATATTAGAGCTTCGAACAGAAAAAAGTTGTGGCATTGGCTTTTTATTAATTGATTCGAAGTAGTCAATGAGTGCAAGTTTGTTTCATGAAATGTCATTTCACTCTGACTATCAACCACTTTGACCTTCTCCTGAGAAAAATTTGGACCATCTGTTTTAATTAAAGTGCTAAATGTTGACTATTTACAGAGTTACAGAGAAAAACATCCTACAGCAAATAAACAATAAGAAAGTACTAAAAATCAATAAAAAATACAGTAAAATATGCATGACAATTTATATATCTTATAAAGTTTGACAATTTTTCAATCATCAGTCAAAATCGTATGAAAATGACATGATAAATATTTAAAACATATTTATTAAAACATTTAAACATATTTAATCAATGTTATTTTAGATTCTCTTTTTATTCTTTGTTTTTATTTTTTAAATAATTATATGTATAATTATAATATAATATTATATTATTTAATATTTTGATCTTTTAATTGTAGTTAAAGTTTTAGAAATTGTATTGTGTTTTTGTCATTTTTATTCATAGATATCGACAGACAAACAGATATAGACACGTTTTTATAAATTTTTTCATGTATTTTTGTTTTAGTACATCAAGTTAAACTAAATGAGCTGAAATAAAATGATTTAAAACAAAAAAGTTTTTTTTATATTTTATTTAGTTAACGTATATTTTACCATTTCATTCATTTGACTTTATTAGTAAAGCAAATATTTGTTATGGTTTTAGTTTTAGTTAAACAACTCTGGATTTATTACCTAAAATGTACTTAATCCATGTCATAACTCATTCAGATGCAAAACTGGGCCTGCCATTGCAAAGACAGATTAATTGAAATGCAGCAATAATTTGACAAAGTGCACAAACACGCTGTATGTCCTGGAAAACACTGAGTCGCGTGAAAGCGCTTTAAGTGTCTTTTAAGTGTTTTTGCCGGAAGCGCTCCTGAAGTGTCAGTAGCAGTATGTTAAACAAACATTCCCACACAATAATAGCAGCGTGTCACGACCTAAAGCAGGGAAAAAAGACATCAGCAATCAGCAACTGGCGACGACACGCAAGAAAACGTACAGAATTCACTGGGCTTTCCTTTCTTGGAAAGACAGTCAAGGTAAACACACACACACACACACACACACACCTGATAGTTTGCTCTGCTGACTGGCATAACTTGAGTTGCGTGAATGACCCGAGTGAAACGATTCTTCAGGACTTTGACCCTGATCCACCTCCTCGGGAAGAGCTAAAGAACAAAAACAGACAGAAAAAATCATTCAAAATGACCAAGAAATACTGCACTGAATATAAACAACGATACCACTAACAAAAGAACATAAACATGAAGTATACTGGACATGCACTATGAAATTCTTTGAAATATGTGACCCTGGACCACAAAACCAGTCATAAGGGTAAATTTTTCAAAATTGAGATGTATACATCATCTGAAAGCTGAATAAATAAGCTTTCCATTGATGTATGGTTTGTTAGGATAGGACAATATTTGGCTGAGATGCAACTATTTGAAAATCTGGAATCTGAGGGTGCAAAAAAATCTAAATATTGAGAAAATCATCTTTAAAGTTGTTTAAATGAAGTTCTTAGCAATGCATATTACTAATCAAAAAGTAAGTTTTGATATATTTACGGTAGGAAATTTACAAAATATCTTGATGGAACATGATCTTTACTTAATATCCTAATGATTTTTGGCATAAAAGAAAAATGGATAATTTTGACCCATACAATGTATTGTTGGCTATTGCTACAAATATCCCCCAGCGACTTGTGCTCCAGGGTCACATATTAGGATTTCATTATTACTACTGGCTAATAATTGATTCTCATTCATGTATGTGATAAAATACACCTTTAATAAAGTAATTTTTTTTTTTACCAGAGCCGAGTATAGAAGGTCTCTGTTTAGTCAGTCGGGCCAAAACCTCAGCGGTTCCTTCTCCTTTACAGTCCAGCTGCAGCGAAGGGTCTCGACCGGCCACAGATATACATTTGGCGGTGCTTGGGGGACTAATTATACACAAAACCACACTCGTGAAATCAGTAACATTGCTCATGATGTTTGTTGTAATGTCATTTATCAGCCTGAAGGAGGCTTCAGAGCTCACGTTTTGAAACAGGGATCTCCGGATAAGAGGGTCATTCCGATGGTCACCTTCAAAATGACAGGAAAGAACGTATTAGATTTTCACAGGTAAGCTTTTCATGAAGAATAATGCTTGCATAACTTGCTCCCTAGACTTCGCCTGAATATTTTTTTAAGCAAGATAGAGCCCAGTTCTTGGAACATGACAACCATCACGCAGGAGAGAGAAGAAATATGCGTGCAATCACATTTTGCAATCACAATCATCATATTTAGAAACCTAGGGTTTTATTGTTTTCTTTTTGTTCATATTAAACATGTTAAGTTTCTGTTTTCTTTCTGTTTATATATATATATTAAATTATTTGTTTGTTTATTATTAATTTCTTGCGTTTCTGTCTACTGCCCCTTGTATTTCCATCCCTATTGGCTTGATTTTAAAAATGTGAAGTTCCTGTTTTTATTTATTTATTTATATCTACTGCTCTTTGTTTTTGCACCTCTTTTGGCTTGGTTTTAAGAATGTTAAGTTTCTATTTTACTTATAAAGTAAGTTTCTGTTTTTTTCTTTGTTTATAATTAACTTGTGACTCACTAGAAAATGCTGTTGCTAATGAATGAGATAAATGAGTTTGGGGGGAAAAAACAGCAAGAGTAATGCAGTATGTGAGCTGGTGTTTGACCTCTGACCTTCAGGATGGAGTTGTCCTGCCGGGTGTTCTTGGTGTCGTATCCCTCCAGCAGACAGCAGCGCGCGGTGGAGCCTGAGCCAGCAAACTCTGCCATGTTCAGATCAGCAAAGCCCAGCTGAGAGGATCACACACACACATACAGACCCGGCTGACACTGGCTTTTGTTTATAAGCACAGGATTCCCATCATGCCATGCCAAATGTGAAATATATGCTGATTATAGTTTGGCAGCGTACAGAGCATATGGTGCACATCACTCGTTCCATCCTGCTCTTTCTCAGCCAACAGTTTGTTGAAACTTTGCCTTTCAAAACTAATTTGATTATGAGTTGAACCGAGCTACAGGGGAATACCGGATCCGTCCATACCGGAATATCATAGTCACGACAAAATGAATCACATTTTCCCAGAATAATCCAAATCTGGAGGTAATTGGTAAGTTTGTATTGGTAAGTCTCTTCTGCTCATCAAGGCTGCATGTATTTTTATCAAAAATACAGTAAAAATGTGAAATATTATTAGAATTTAAAATAACTGATTTCTATTTGAATATAGTGTGAAATGTAATTTATTTCTGTGATCAAAGTTGTATTTTCAGCATCATTACTCCAGTCTTCAGTGTCACATGATCTTCAGAAATCATTCTAATATGCCGATTTGCTACTCAAGAAATATTTATTATTACGATCAATGTTAAAAACATTTGTGCTGCTCATATTTTTATGGAAACAGATGAACAGAAAGTTAAAAAGAACAGCATTTTTGTATCATTTCTCTTCTGTGCTTGAATTAAACATAAGTTTGGGTTTCTTTTATTTATTTATTTTATTTATTTATTCTATTCTGTTTTCTATTATTTATTTAAAATGGTCTACTCTCCCTTATTTTCACCCCGTCGGCTTGATTTCTATTTTATTTTTTTCCTTTTTTCCCTCCTTTCTATTTATTTATTTATCATGTTAAGTTAATTTCGTGCATTAATGTGCCTTGTATATTACTGTGCTTGATTTTTAAAATGTGAATTTTCTGTTTTATTTATTTGTTTATTTAAAAATATATATATATTAGAATTTCTATTTACTGTCGCTTGTTTTTGCTCCCGTCGGCTTCATTTAAAAAAATATTATGTTTCTGTTTTACTTGTATGTTTTCAATTATTTTTCTTGTATTTCTGTCTACACGTTTATTTGAAAAAGAACAGCATTTATCTTTATATTATATATGTCTTTACTATTCATTTAAAGCATCCTTGCTTTCAGTTTCTTTTTTCTGTTCTGTTGTGCAACCATAAGTCTCATGACAATGCAAGTCTAAACTTATAATTGCCTGATCTTTTGTTGAACAGATCACTTTTTCTAGTCAATTAATTTCTAGTCATTTCTAGTCAATTAACAGACATTTTCTCAACTAGAGCAACTTACAGTACATTCATTATTTGCTATTTTGACACTAGCGAAGTGTCATTCCTATTGCACGTCTGAACCGGTAAATGTTTAGTAGACGGCTGCTAGTTAAACATCCTGTTGAGTTATTGTCACGTCTCCCCGAGGGTTCACTTCCCTGAACAGCTACCGCTGCCAGATGCATTTATTTAAAGAGCCCTTCTCCTGCAGAGCACAAGTATTTTTAGATCGGGGAAATCCAAACTTAGCCCTGCTGCAGGGGAGAATACAAGGAAATGTTGCTTAACTGGCGGAGAATGAAGCATTCCCACTAGAGCCCGACCGATATATCGTTTTGCCGATATTATCGGCCAATATGAGCCTGTTGCCGATATATTGGTATTGGCGAATATGCCGCCGATATGAAAAATTTTTTTTACAGAACATATAACGCAGATAAAATGCTTGAAATGGTGTAATTACTTAGTTTGTCCAGCAGAGCGCGCTCCATTGTTTGCTACTGGCGACTTGGATAAAACGCTTTTGAAGCTTAAGTCTATGGAAAACCACTGAAACTTTGAACGGCCATATCTCCGTAACGGCGCGGGGGATCCCTTCAGCTCGAGGAACTCTCTCGAACGCAAATTGAGTGTACATCTAGAGGCCCGCTTTAGAATGAGACCACCCCCACGTCGATAGCCCCCGGGGTTCGGGAGTTACGGGTGGTTAAATTCGCGGTCCGGCACTGACTGATCAAGCGATCCCAGGGGGCTACCGACGCGCGGAGGGTGATATTGTATTTATTTACAGAGGTGTATTATGTCACACTTTTCTAGTAAGTTTCGTCTGTGTATGAATGTTCCGAAGTGAAATAAACTTTAACGTAATAAAGTTGAATGGAATTGAATTGAATTAAAGTTGAATAAACTTCAACTTTACTGTTCAGTGCACTGATGTCAGACTCATTTTGGATAATAAAGTTTATTGTTAAATTGTTAAATGCCCTGCCTCCATTACGTATCTCGGTCACGTCATTATAAGTGTTTGATCACCACATTTGAGTGATCATTGCAAAAAATGTGTTTATGTATATATATTCTGTTTATGTATATACTGTATTCTATATATAGTACCAGTCAAATGTGTGGACACACGAATGGGAAAGTGTCCAAACGTTTGACTGGTACTGTACTATAATATACACAAAGAATATCGGCCAATATATCGTTACCGGCCTTTTTTTAACTCCCTAATATTGGTATCGGCCCCAAAAAAAACATATCAGTCGGGCTCTAATTCCCACCTCTGTGCACTATCTAGGGCACTTAAGGGTAACGGCGGGTTAGGCCACGAGTTTGAATGGTATTTTAAGCATTGCTTATGTAAGATAAGAGTCACATGCCTGAAACCTGCGGTCAAATGACCATGGCATCATAACAAGCGTGTAAATCTTGTGACAAGCCAGACAAATGAGTTTAGAACATCATATCGAGGCAAGTTAGTCCCTCCTGTACATGATAATACTGTAAAGTTTAATGTTTTGTTGACTGTAGAGTGTTAATGTGATGTATAACTCCAGCTTGTAAAAGCTTTTCACATGACGCATTGAGACCTAGCTGCAGCATGAAGGCACCTATAGACTAGATTTATTTTATGAGCTTAACGTGATTTCAATGTGTTGCAAGGATGTCAAGAAAAAACAAAGCGTTCGCAAAAACAATGCTTAATTTTGAAATCAAAAGTAGTTCAAATTGGGAATCCACTGACAAATGAAAATATCAGAGAGGCAGTTCCGGTCTTTCATAAATTCAGTTTGCTATTTTACGGCTTGATTTATAATTGGCACGGCTCTTTATAACATATTGTGATGGAAAAACAAGATGAAAGAGAGACCAATCCTGTGCATATTCAAAGCTTTATGCAACAAGGTCAAAGGCATATCATGGCATTCAGATCATAATCATTCCTATATTATGCACACAATATATTTTATGTGGATTAATAAGATGATGCTTGACTTGTACACCACTAATAAAACCAGTGAAATACACTAGCATTCAAAAGTTTCACTAGCAAAAAAAATATTTTAATGTTTTTGGAAGTTTCTTCTGCTCACCATGGCTGCATTTATTTGATTAAAAATACATTTAAAACAGTAATAGTGTGAAATATTATTGCAATTTCAAATAGCTGTTTTCTATGTGAATATATAGTAAAATGAAATTTATTCCTGTGATTTTCAGCATCATTACTCCAGTCTTCAGTGTCACATGATCTTCAGAAATCATTCTAATATGCTGATTTGCTGCTTGAGAAACATTTATGATTATTATCAATGTTGAAAACAGTAGTGCTGCTGTGGAAACTGTGATACATTTTATTTTTCAGGATTCACAGATGAATAGAAAGTTCAGCATTTATTTGGAATAGAAATCTTTTGTCACATAAATGTCTTTACTGTCACTTTGGATCAATTTAATGCATCCTTGTTGAATAAAAGTATTCATTTATTTCTTTAAAAATAAGTATTATTATTTTATAATAATTACTGGGAGTTAAAACTTTTTTATTTTAAAGAGATTTGAATTAATGTTCAATTGAAATTGTTAAATTAATATTTGAGCCTTTGAATGAATGTTAGATTGCACAACCTCCATTCTATATATGTGACCCTGCAGCACAAAAGCAGTGTTAAGTCGCTGGGGGATATTTGTAGCAATAGCCAACAATACATTGTATGGGTCCAAATTATTGATTTTTCTTTTATGTCAAAAACCATTAGGATATTAAGTAAAGATCATGTTCCATGAAGATATTTTGTAAATTTCCTACCGTAAATATAGCAAAACTTAATTTTTGAGTAGTAATATGCATTGCTAAGAACTTCATTTGGACAACTTTAAAGATGATTTTCTCAATATTTCGATTGTTTTGCACCCTCAGATTCCAGATTTTCAAATAGTTGTATCTCGGCCAATATTGTCCTATCCTGACCCTTATGACTGGTTTTGTGGTCCAGGGTCACATATAAATGTACAGTAAGGAAAGATGTGGAAGCTTTCACTCACCTTTGAATATGTTTTTCCTCCTTTGAGTTCCTGTAATGAAAACAGGAAGAGTGTGAAGTTCAGAGACGGGACAAAACGGCATCAATGTTTATCCCAACACACTTAAACACAACCTCACCCTTCATGAGCAACACTTCAAGCCTTTAATTTGAGTTCCAAGTTCAACTCAAACTCGGCAAGACCTCAAACCTAACCTCGCTTCAATGAGACTAAACTGTGAAGAATTCATCTCACCTTCCTGACAGAGACGCGACACACGCAGGGGTCCAGAACGCCGGTGTTGGGGTTGGCGCTCATTTTGCACACAAAGGAGAACCTCTTCCTCCAGCGAACGGCGTTCTGGTGGACTTCTTCTCTGTGGGCGAGAGAACAAAGATCCAGAACTGTTATTTCAAACACACGCTCAAGTCACAGATCCAGACTGAACACTGATGATATGTTGATGTTGGTTGTGATATCGTCTCTCTGCTAATGTTTCAAGCTGTGGGTCTGTTTGTGATGGCCGGTCATGTAGTAAAACGTTTCCAGCCTGTTTGCGACTCGAGAAGATCCAGACGAAGATCCAGATTGAGTATTTACTAGGGCTGTGCGATATGGACAAAAAAACCTATCGCGATTTCTTTGATCAATTTTGCGATTTCGATCTTAATCACGATTTTGACACACACAGACATGCTTTACAGTCATAAATGCATTCAGTGTGAATTTGAAACATATTTCCAAAAGAAAACCAATTAGAGCTTTATCAAAAAGCTGTAACATGTCTCTAGAACAGACATAAGGCAAAATAATCACCAAGTA